GGAGCTTCTGGTTGTGTGCAGAAGCTGGGCGGGGGAAAGGGCTGAGAGCTCCCAGTGCCAAAAGTGCCCCGCCTCCCAGCTGCTCCCCCGCCCCTTCAGGCTTCTGTCTGGCGCACAGCCGGAAATTCAGAAAATACTGGACATTGCACACATCTGGTATTTTCTGAATTTTTCTACCGGACAGAGGGCGTAAATACCAGACTGTCCGGTAGAAAACTGGACACCTGGCAACCCTAGCCCCGTGCTGGCTAAGAAGGGTTGAAGTAGGCTGGAGGGACCCTGTGCAGAAGCCTAGCCAATCAGGGAGAGGCTTTTAAGGAGCCAATCAGGGTATAGCTTGCTGGGGCAGCCCTGTATAAAAAGAGCAGTTCAGGAGAAAGTAGGACTTAGGCCCTGACCAGGGAAGGTGTAGGACTGTGTTCCCATAAAAGCAACTTCATGAGAGCAGTGCTGGGCAAGCTCAGGGGGACTAGTGAGGAAGGCTCCAGCCTGATAACCTCCAAAGGCCAGGAGGATGCCAGTCGTCACAGGGGGAAGTGGCTCAGGGAACGACAGAGTAGAGAAGGTCAGGACAAGGCTGCCACCACAGGGTCCCTGGGTCAGGACACAGAGCAGCAGGTGGGCCTGGATCCCCTTGCAACACACCTTACCACTAAGGCATAACTAGCACAGGCTGGGGCTTGCCCCTGAGATAAGGGGCTAGGCTTCAGGGCCACAGTGGTGGGTGCAACGGAGAACTGCTGATGCCCTCTTGGGAGGAAGGCGTGGCCCATACAGACTGCAGCTGCCCCCTGAGACTGAGGGGCTAGGCTTGGAGGCCACAGTTGGCCAGAGTGACAGTAGAGACATAGGACTGCCAATAACCCCCCTGGAAGGGGGCGAGAGGCCACTGGAGCAGACACTGTGGTTGGGTCTGAAACCCAAGCATGGACCGCGGAGGGGGGAGTCGCCAGCCAGGAGGAGGCGCCCTGTTGCCCAACCAAATTCCACAGAGCAACCAGCAGGAGGTGCTGCAGCGGAGTGCTCGCCCCGTGACCTGGCCACTATCTGCTCATTGCCTGTCCCCAGACTCTGAAAATGGGAGGGCCAAGGTGTATACAAAAAGACTGAACTATTCATGGCTGGTCACCGCAGCCTTAGCTTAGAACCGGAGAAAAACCATTTTGTGAGGTTTGAGGATTGACTCGATCGGGGGATGATTTCTGACAAGCCTGTCAGAACACGTACGAGGGATGTGATGGCTAACCATTAAGTGAGATGCTTACCAGCTATGATTAATTGGTGGGCTGGAGCAGCCCCTCCACCCACCATGGGCAGGGTGTTGTTCCAGCCCGGTGGGGTCCACTGTAGGCAGGGGCCACTTCAGCCCAGCTG